TCGACCGTGCCGAGGCCATCTTTGCAACCGGCCTTCTCCACATCACCCTCCTTTTCGCATACCCTTCCAACACCCGTCGCTCACAACAATGGCGCAACCGTCTCCGCCAGCTCCACATTTTGCCCCACACCTACCACTACCACAACTTCCTCTCCTCCAATTCAGTCTACATCAAGCTCCACTTCAATCCCGACCAGCCCCAACGCTGCTACCATCAGCATGGCCACTTCTATGTTGGCTCCACAGCTATTGGCATCCCCCACCGCGAGCACAATCGCCGCGCCAAACTCAAACAACTCCAAAATAACATTCCCATTTCTGCAGAACTCTCCCTACGTTATTGGCATTCACATAACAACATCCACCACTACACCACTATTCAACTTACCTCCCATGACACATACGACCAAGCCTGGATCCAAGAGCACCACTACATCGCAAACTGGATGCCTCCGCTCAACTGGCCTTTCATTTCCCACCACCTCAAACTCAAAGCTCAGGGATGGCAGTTCGCGAAACACAGAGCCCACTTCTACTCCAGATTAGCCACCCACAAACGACTTTTCCGACGCCTTCGGCAACGCCAGTACACCCTCAGAGAACCACACCTCTACACGTCCACTAAGCATCACGCCCTCCAACTTCTTCGCAACCTTACCAAACACACCGCAGCCTCCTTTGAAGCAGCTAAAGAGCTACGAAGCGGCCGCCACACGGACCTCGAAGTCTATGCAATTCGGCGCATGGCCGCAAACCTGGAAGAACCTGGCCGCAGCCGAGCTCTCCACATCCTCAACAAAGCCTTGATCTACCGCAACCTCACACCACCAAAACCAAACATCCCATTGACAGTGCCCTTCTTGGCCCATGACGACTTTACCAAGCACTGCCAACAGTGGCTTCGTACTACCATCCAGCAGCACAAGCATTTCACCATTCCCCTCCACCTCCCCTCCCACAGACTGAGAGAAGCCGCCCACAAAACCCTCCGCTCCCACCTGCACAACCACCGCACATGGGAGGACACCCTCCACTCCCCGCCAGATCCAGCAGACCTTCCCTGTGCATGCGATCACCTTCGCACCCTCTTGCAGGATCCCGATACCCCTACCATCAACGGCCACTACATCCTTACACTTGACCAGCTCCAACTCCCTACACACCTTGGCATTTTTTCTCAACGCCAATATGAACAGCACCTATTACCCAAGCAAAGCTCGATACTTCCTCATTTTCAAGACGGCCTACACCAAATGGCTCAAACTACAAGGGCTTCCACCATCCCTCGTTCAGCATTTACAACCCTTCCTTGAGCACCAATGGCGCCTTCACAACACACACCTCAAGCAGCAACCCCGCTTTACGGCCCGCCTGCTTCGTCAACTCCAAGAACATTTGGGTAAACACACTTTACTCCACCATGCAGATCATGAGCTCCAACAACTTCGGCTGTTTTGCCCTCGCCAATACTTCACTGGCGCCTTGAACACCTGGCAATCCCCCGAACTTTTCGAACCACTTCCCCACATCACTGCCGCCAACATCCACGACCACCTGGCCGCCACTGTCCCCCCCATCCTGCGCACCCGCTACAAGTGGGGCTTCCGAAAAGACTTCAACATCCCCTACGGTGTTGTCCACCTCAAGGAGAAGAAGCACTGGCAAAAAGGCCGTACAATCATTTCATACTTCCAATCACTAAGTGGCAACCTGCTACGCATCACCAGCCGTGCCCTTGACATTATCCTCCAACACCTCTACCCTCAACATCCAGGCCAAATGTCCATTCCCCAGCTTTGGCACCACTTTCACAGTTACCTCACCCAAACCCCACCAGACATCTCACTACACGCCACCAACGATGACCTGGTCGGCTTTTTCAACTCCGTCCCCCAGCACCGACTCATCGATGCAGTCCACTCCCTCGTCCACCACTGGCAACAACAGCAATCCACACACACCTTAACGGTGGATGTCCAGGCCACCGGCAATCCTTTCCACCACTCACACATTGGCAGACACCATCGGAAACATCCTACCCAACGCACCATCCAGACTTCCGACATCACCACCATCGTGGCTTTCGCCCTCAACACATGCATTTTCCGGGCTTGCAACAACACTTTCAAACAAATCCGAGGGGCCGGGATTGGATCCCAGCTCTCTCCAGCCCTATGCAACGTTGCCATCACCCTCATTGAGCACTCCTGGCATCAGATCCACAACAACCTCCTTCAACACACAGACCTCCACTTTACTTACTATCGCTATGTCGACAACCGCTTCATTGTCCACAACGAACATTTCCTTCAACACCCGGCTATCCAAACCCTTATCCACCACAATTTCTTTGGCGACCCTGTGGAACTAGAACCGGTGGAGGATTTTCATCTCCTCGGTTTCAACATCGACCTCCCACAACGCACCATCAACTACATGCAACCTTCTCAACCCTGGAAAATCCGGGATTCCACCACTGCCGGGAGCCAGCGCTTGGCTCTATCAGGCCTCCAATCACGACTTCACACCATTCGAAAATACACATTTCCACCCTCCAGCGCTGACGCTGCTGCGGCCGAACTCGTGAATCTATATGTCCAAAAGGGGCATAACTATCACGCCTGCCACCGGTTTTTGAAAAAAGCGCCGAACGCGGCGACCTGTGTGTGTCCAACCCTGGACAAAGGGTCTTCCACCACCACTCTTTCTACCCTACATGGGCAGGGGGACACAGCATTTCACTGGGACTGTGTCCAACGAAGCTACCAGTGAAATGGGATATCCAGCTTGGCCAGCTGGACGTACCTGCTCGTTCTTTCACAAGCTGTTCCGCCAATCTTCCGCGTTTTGTTTCATGGTCCTTCATGTATTCCACCCCACAAACAGGTTTTTTCAGCAGCCGTTCACAGACTTGCGCCGCGCCGCCCGAGCGACCGATCGTCTCTGCAGACTTGAGCAACAGTTTTTGAAACACCTACAAGTTTTTGGACCTTTCACCTTGCGGTTCTTCGCCATCCTTCCCATCGGAGAAATTGAGCTAACTGAATACAAATTGTCGAAGTGTGTCAACCCCTGTTTTTCCAAGGGATCCTGCTCCCAAACTTTTCACACGATCTCCTTTTCTTTCCATTCAATTTGTACGATCATTTATATATTTTCATTTTACTGTACAGCGCGGGGGGCCAGCGCATGGCATTGGAGGTCAGGTCGTTCTTGCACTTGCCTGGTATCGCAGTAGCTAGACCGTCAAGTGTTGCATCTCTGGTACCACCCTGAATTACGCTCGTATACAAGCTTCTTCTCTGTGTTTCGGAGCATTTTCCTATCCAGCGCCGGTTGGACTCTACTCCTCAAGAAGTCGCTCGACTGGCAAGTCTTCGGATTCGGATTTTGCCGACGCGTTTCATTGGAACTTCCTTTCCTGTACGTGCGACACCTTCGCGCTCCGGAACTGCATGATGAATCACTGCAGAGCTGCTGCCATTCACTTCTGATTCTGGACACTGCAGAGTTCACCGGTATTTGCGGTCATGTTTCATGCATTGGCCGCTTTGACCCTGATTCTGAATTCTCAGCAGCAAGCTCGGCAGAAAGCTCCCCCATGCCAGTCCATTCCATGGTTGCTCCTCAACAGCCAGTGACACAACGTTCAGCACCACCACAATATTCAGTACCACAGGTACAAAGTATGTCCATTGTACAAAGTATGCAGCGCGTAAGCTCGCGTTGTCGTGTCAGCTGCATTTTGTGCAAAACAGGTGTCGCGCCAGGTCTGCGTAAGCCTTTCTTGCTCCAAGTGGACCGCGTAAGCAAACATGTGAGTCGCGTAAGGCAGCGTAAGCACAAGCGTAAGCACAATGATACGACATGGGATTTCATCTTAAGGTTTTCAGAACCGCTCATCTGACTTCACCGCCCAGGCGTGTGGGTCAGTTTCCATTCCCCTTCCCGAAGTGCAGAGAACACGAGCGCAGGGGTGGAGAGAGGAGTCTCACCAGACGCGGTGAGGGGACCTCCATCTCCAGATCACCATGTCTCCTACCTGCAGCATTGCTAGAAAAAACTTTGCCAAAGTTCCATGATGCACAAGGATTCGAGGCAATGCGCGAGATCAGTTCAGACACCACGTGTTCCTGCAGTGTTTGTTTGCCTTCGTTGATGAAAAAAAAGGGGTTGTCCATGACTCGCCCGCCTTTGAGCGCAACATTTGTTTCTTCTCCAGCGGCAAGCGCCCTGTAATTGCCTCGTAATTGCCAGCAGCAATTGCCAAATGCCGTTTGTGGTGATGAGATAACATTCGGATCCCACGCCAGAATCGATCCTCCCAACTGATCATGGATCCCCCCCAACGCCGATAAGTCGGATTGTAATTCTGAGGATGGCCGATAAGTCGGATTGTGGTTCCAAAGGGTTTCATGCCGTGACCCATGCTTTGATATATAGTACTAATTGATATAATTTATATATAAGATTGCAGCCTTTTTCGCCCCAGCACTCCATCCTTTGCTTCATGATGTTTAAACTGTTTAAACTTGAATTTGGACCTGGCACGGAGCTATTCGCTGATTCTTCATCCTTGGGCAAGTTCACCAAGCCATTGAGAGAATCAAGAATAAACACCCTGTGGTCAGTGGTAGAAGACTGTGAACATGTTCCTATATTTACATCTCCTAAACCAGACTGTCGGGGGGGACACCACCCGCGAACTTCCCGCAGTGGAACTCACTAGTTCCCCGTTCGCTGAACCACCCCTGCGTTCAATGGTCTAAGACAGGCCAAGAAGATCGTACCGTGAGTCATAAACCCAAGTATTGTTTAAAGATAAACATTGGAATGGAACACGATATGGACCCCACCAAAATCATCCCAAATCCATATTTTTATATATGGTTTTTGGCTATATAAAGTCATGTTTTTGCTGCCGCAATAATATGAAAACCCCCATGTTCACCCGCAACCACCGCACGTGGTAGTCTTTGGTTCGATGTCCTGGTGTGAAGGCATATACCAGCAAATGTGTGCCCTGGCGATTTGGGTCCAAGCGTCTTGCAGCGATTGATACCAGCCATGTGAAATTGGCTCTCCCAAGTCACGTGGATTCGATGATCTCCCGAAGTGGTTGAAGGTGGTTGGTTGGAGGTCATCGAATCGTCGCTCAACTGAGCGTTGATCCCCCCAATCTCCACGTCTTTTTTCGGATGAATGACAATCCCAACTGTAAACATGTTGCATCATGTTAGCTATCATTTTGCTACTGTTCATGTGAGCATCCGACGGTTCAGTCTTTGCCAAGACATCATTCGTCGCGGAAACACGCGCAAAGGAAACGCGGGTGGCCGAACGTGGGTCATTGGTCGGGTGGCCGATGTCCCTCCACGGAACAGATGTTCTCCAGTTTTGTCCACCCACATGAGCTCATAATAGCTCGTAATTATTCATGGAGAAGGGGCGTCGTTTTCCCTGATCGCTACATCTCTTTGCTCCACCAAGACACCCCACAGCGCCGGGCCCCAAGACACCCCACCGGTCCGGACCCTTCCAGCCCTTCCAGTGGCATGGGGCCGTTTCAGGTGCCAGTAGTGTTTGGGAATGGTTTTGTGTGGTTTTGGACTGTCAGAGGAGTTGGCCTAGATCAAAACCAGGCCGAATTGTCCAGACTCCATGTCAACCCTCACATCCAACTGCGACTCACGTTTTCGACTTCGTCCAATCGAAGAAATGCACCACCGACCTCCTCGCCTCGCATCTCGGACATAGCGCGGGAGACGACCATCGCTGAGGACCTCTGGAGTCTGGGCGTCATCGCAGCTCGGCGGCGGGAGGAACGAAGGGTTACGAGTCACGTGGCAGGGGTTACGCCCACGTGGAAGTTTTCACGAGATGGAAGGGATGAAGGTTGGAGATGGTTGGAGAAAATGTGGAAGAAACCATTTGGGAAGGTTGGAGAAGGGTGAGGAAAAATGTTGCTTCAGATTTAATGTTGGAGCGATAATTATATAATTCTTCAATATATGTGTTTGCATATTATGTTTGATTTGCTCTTCACTGCACACGTTGCAGAACTGGCAACTGTGATCGGTGGACCTCAGCAGCAAAAAATACACTTTCCCAGATGATTCATCATCATCCCTACACCCTTGGGCACGGAGGGGATTTGGTTGTTTTCCATGCATTGCTGGCCATGAATTCGTGGCCATGAAGGCGTAAGTACTAATTAGTTATAACCAGAAGAATCAGAAGAGACACATATGCCGTCCCGGCCGTCACGGAGCAGCCACGCCATCGGCCAGACGCGTCTCTTGAGCCCAACGACGCCAGACGCGTCTGGCGCCGGCCCACGGTCACGGCTTGCGCAAGACCCAAAAACACAAACCCTATAGGAATTCCAAGCACCTTAGGCTTGGAGGGCCCAAGTAAGTACCTGCAAAGGTTCGGTCTGTGGATCCCTAGGGAAAAGCATCGTGTTTTCATGCTCGGTGGCCGCTAGTTAGGATCCGTCTCGGGTGCGTTCAATGCACGACGTTCAGCGCTGACGGTGCCCTTTCACAACATGAGGTCTTCATGCTCCTGAGTGGGCGGCCACCCTTCATCACGTCCATGGGCCACGAGCGCATGCGCCGCTCGGGGCTTCGTTTGGTGCGAGCTCGCTTTCAATGCGAGGGGGTTTGAGTGAGGAGGACAGGCGGAGGAGGATGGTAGGACAACCCCAGAAACATCCAGAAACCACCCTTGAGACATCTTGAGACCCTTGAGCATGATTATATATGTGCTTGTTATATCGTTTTATCATTGATCAAGTGTGCTGCATGTGCATTGGATCCCGCAGGTGGTGTTGCATTTAGGCATCATATACATGTTATGTTGTTTTTTTTAATCATGGGTTGCTTGCAATTGGGAGTTGAGGTGATGGAGAGCTGCGATTGGCAAGAACTTGAGAGTCGGCGTAACGCCTAACCAAGGTCAGCTTCATGTTCCCTTTTGGACACCCCATTTACAGCCATAGCCCTTTCTTACTCCCTTTCTTTGGTGTACACTGTTGCATACCTCCACGTGTAGGGATGATTGCTTGTGTTTTTTGTCGATGACTGTCAAAGCTGGCTGGTGGCATCAAAAGACCCTGGAGTCCGCCAGAAACAATTGTAAACATGTGTTTCTGCTGCCCAACAAGACAGCCCAACAAGGTCAACAATGACACGTGTTGTTTCCTTGAGCCATGTGTTTCTATAAATATGTTTAATGTGTTTTAAAAAGAAAACCATATTAATATAGTATCCTTTTTTGTTGTCCTCCTTTTCCCACTTTTTACACCTGCCTCACGAAGCAGCACATTCCACATGGAACAAACACGCTCCTGGTATGCGCCTATCTTGATGGATGAGGTACAGTACTACTACGTCCGCTTGGGTCCTTCGCTTCATGGGTTAGCCATGTTACACTCACAAGGTCGATCTACACCCAGTCACAGTGCTGTCGAGCATTGGATTCCTTGGATGGAGGATCTCCGCCTCAGGAATTTCCACGAGAGCCACAAGAGCCATGCTATGCCTTTTCATTTTCTTGTTTGCATGTTTGTTACCCTTTGATCTGACAAATTGGATGGCCCTACACTACTTGGGGACCTCCATCGGTCAGGAGCCCCACTGAGGCAAAGACATCTCGCGGGCGAAGGTGCAGTGGGATAGGCTAGAGAATGTCTCCGCAGAAGCGCAGCTTGGTGGAGATGTTCCGATACCTTCCCAGACACTCCATGGGACTGCCAAGGGTGGTTGACTGGGGGTCAATGGGGCGGCATTGATGGCAGTCCCATGGAGTGAGTGTATGGGCTTTGTCAAGTTCATGGCCCGACTTGACAGTGTTGTCATGAGCCGCTAGATGGAGGCCTTAGGACTCTGAGCTTTCTAGACCTGGCAAGTCTCAGTCCCACGAAGAAGAGAAGCGGTATACAGAAGGGGCTTGTTGTAAGAGAAAGGTCTATATGGGGAGGTCCCTAAGACACACACACACATGCGTATTCCAATTTTACAAGAACACAATAAAGACCAATAAAGAAAATTAACACAAAAAAAGAGCAACTGCGAAAAGAACCACAGGTCCAAGGAAACCGTACAATACAGAAGCGATGCAGTTACAGGGGTTTTCCACTCGAGTTCCACTGAGGAGAGATTTCGTCCACAAGCTGTTGGTGCTCGACCCCCTTCAGCGATTGGACGTCACTTGGGACGGCAGGAATGAAGCCTGGAGGACTCGGCTGAAGATCAGCTGAATCCTCCAACCGAACTCGGCGCCGGCGCCGGAGGAGCCTTTAAGTTGAGCCTATTTTTGTTTGATCAGTGCATCAGCGAGGTTTCTCCTTGTGATGTGTTTCCATATTGCTGTTCATTACAGAAAGTCAACCGGCACCCCAAAAACCGGGACCTTCAATCAATTGCGACTGATGTGCTGATTGCAGTTTTGAGGGAACCAAGGTTCACCGCTTGGAACTGCTTTGCAGAAACGATTCTTCCCAGACACAACCTGTCAGGCACTGGCATATTTACATACATGGACCCCTGGTCAACCACCCCTGGCCTGATCGGGAGTCAGGACTGCAGCCAGCCCCCGTCCCAAACAGCTTGGGTCGCGTGTCCCGTTTGGGCTTCGTTCGACCCTTGCCTTGCGCCCCAAGGCGGCTGCAGCCTTGAACCATCCCTGGCTTGCATCCAAAGATGTCACCCAGGACATGGAGTGTTTGGTGCAAGGAATGCCTTAACTTGGTGTAGTCCCTAACTTGTACCTGTATGAGCTTATGAAAGGCTGATTGTTCAGGCTTTTCGAGCTTCCAGGTATAGTTGTTTATAGACTTGATCGATGAGTGTGTTTGTTTGAAACCATATGTTGCTCTCCGTACATGTATTTGATGGTATTCGACTGTTTTGTTGATAGTTCATTTCTTGCTGATTCGTGCTCGAGATGTTGATGGTCGCTGGATTGTTTCTGAGAGTTTTGATAGTCATAGTCGTTGTATGTTGTGTGACAGTTTTCGATAGTCGCTGGAAACGTCCGCACCATTGTTCGATGATTTGATCCAGATATAATTGCAAACATGCATATAGTTAATGAAGTATATTGATATGTGTTGTCGTCCTCCGATTCTCATCTGGACAGACAGAGTTTTGGGGGAACAAATGCAACTACCCACGGCCATTCCGCCATTGGGACCTGCCATAGTTACCATTAGTTACCTATCGCTCGATCCTCCAATCTATAAGTGTTTCGCTTCCACTTCACCTCCTTCATGGTCAAACTCCAAGCTTTATAGGCTGCTTCACCTCCCCAAGTCCAACCCTCCGTTCTCCGAAAACGATCAAAGCGTCTTCACACGACTCCATCGTCCAGGACTGGGACCGCGCCCGAGCCGGGGGACATCGGATCAAGGGCGTGCTCTCCGCCTTGAAGCAGTGCCCGGCTCGCTGTCCAATTAGTCCTTTCCTGCCTCCCTGGTGCCTCCCAGACTGTCCAAATGGGCCCGGATCACGGACCGTCCCACCTTGCGCGCGGACGAGTCCGGCACGGTGCCGAGTCCGCGGGTTCGGGAGAGAGATCAGGCGAATTTACATGGTCTGGTCTCCGGGGTGTGGCCGGGGTTTGGATGGCTAGCGGTTTTGGAAGAGGGAGCGTGTTTCAAGGCTTGGTCTGGATGTGACAGTACCTGATTCACCTGATTCCAGTCTCGAAGGAAGCTCAGTGGTTGCCAAGTTGGCAGTCACTAACCTTCAGGTCGGTGTAGTGCAAAATGTGAGACCATTACCTCGCGAGGACGTCGCCACTATCCACTCACTGGCTAGGACTAAACACCACCCCTTTGGGCATCGGTGAGGCTCTCGCGTAGAAGACGCCGAACATCTCGTCGCTTGTGACGCCGATTTGCTCATACCACACACCACCCCACCACACCCATGATACACCCATGATGCTGGTGATGCTTTGTGCGTAGCGCTGTTTTTGTGGCAGGTGCAGTACTTTGTGTGCTTTGACACTTTGTGGACCTTTCCCAGCTTGATCCCGCATCCACCCACCATCACCACCATCGCCACCATCACCACCATCACCACGATCCCGGTGAGTGTATGGGTTGTCTGTTGGCTTGTGCTTGAGTGTCTTGGTGATTGCCCCACCCCCCACCCCCCAGCATGTAAGAGTGTGTAAGATATGCTTTGTTTGCTCACCCCCCAGGATGCAGGTGAGTGTATGGTTTGTTTGTTTGTGCTTGAGTGTCGTGGCGATGGCCCCACCCCCCACCCCCCAGGATGTAGGTGAGCATAAGAGCTGGTTTCTTTGTTTGCGGCTCAGTGTAGTGCTGATCCCCAACCCGCCAGGATGCAGGTGAGTGTGAGAAGTTGTTGGCTTGTTTTGTGCTTGAGTGTCGTGCTGATGGCCCCAGCCACCCCCCAGGATGTAGGAGCATAAGATTTGGTTTCTTTTTTGCGCTTGAGTGTAGTGGTATTCCATTAGATCCCACCCACCCTGGATGTGCGTATATAAGCACTGCAATGGCGATCGCAGTCCCAACGACCAGCTCCTTTGGGCTGTTGTCAAGTCAGGTGAGATAGCGCAGGCTTGGAGGTGCCTGCGGGTCTCCGGAACTGGTGTGAGTGTGTGCTTTACCTTTTCTGCTTGTTTTCTTTTTCTTATCAGACTTTTTTGAGAAGAACATGGGAACAATGTGGGATATTCTGATTTCTTGAGAAGAACATGGGAACAATGTCGACCCGTCCAAACGATTCGCGGTGGGTCTTGCGGATCCATGATAAGCATGGCAGCAGATTGTTTGGGAAGGTTCTGATGGGCTTCGAAGATCTGCGAAACCTTTCAAAACACCACCTGAGCTGATGGTGAAAGCGCTTCACGAAAACCCCAACCAAGCAATGAAACTCACCTCTTATCTTCAACAAGCCAAAGAAGCATCATTCACACGAAATGCCAGGAGTGGGCAGAGGAAGAACCAATCGAGGACGACCCAGAAGCTGAAGGCTCGTCCCACTGCACACGACTGGTTCATACAATCAGGACTTTCAAGTCAGATGGTTTGTAGCAGATTCTGATGCATGACAAACGGCCTGGAGGTGTTTTTTGCCTGCAGTGCAGACAACCCAACGCTGTCGAAAAGTATTGCTGCGCTTGCCACGGGCCCAGTATACTCTCGCTGCGTGTCGTCCTGCTTCTTCCGTGACTATGCTTGATTTTACCTTTTTCATCACATGGTCGCAGGCAATGCAAGTGGATGGGCCTGCGTAGAATCCATCCAGATAGCGCCCAAATGAATCCATTTTGGCAGATGCACAGATAACGCTTGTTGTCACTGCACAAGGCCTCATGGGAATCTACAATCTTCCTTCGGCCCTGCGGTCGGAGAATACGAACTGAAGCTGTCTTTTGTGGGGGGGGAAGAGCACTGCGCCACCCAAGCCAACTCAAGCTTTGAAGTGACTACCCGTGATGCTTCTTCAAAAAACCTCAAAGCCAGAAATCAACAAGGTGTTTGCCTTAACATGTTTCAAGCGCAAGCTGGAGTATGATTTGAGGTGCCATCACATAGCATCATAGTAACACAAACTGTAACTCAAGTAACATAACAAAGCCAGCCAACATAGCGTAAGTTATCAAGCGGCTGGGCGCTTTGACTGTGATCTATTCTGGGAGGAGTGCGCGAAGGAAGAGGCTTCCCGAAATTCCGCGGCCTCAGATCATGAGCAGTCGTTTTAGCGGCCATCATATGTGACTCGCAGCTTTGAAATTGTGTTGTTGGATTGGCTGGACTTCCAACAGTGGGCCCACATCTAGGCGCTAGAAAAGAGTGCCTGAATCGGGTACGATTCGGTATGGCCACAGAATTCTTGAAAAGGAGGTTGCCTAGGTTTGTTCTGTGGATCACAAGCTTGCAAACGTCATGCGTCATTGGTTCATGGACATCTGAGAAGGCACAAAACTAGCCAAGAGTTCACCTGTTCAACCTACTTTTTGAGGAGGGTGAGTCGAACTCCAGCCACTACATCAGGAAGTGCATGCAAAAAAGGTATTATCTTTGCAAGAGACCCCAAACGGTGTGTGTGAGGTCTAGAGGTGTAGCAGTAGCCGAAAGTCTAGAGATCTAGACGCATTGGTGTCCAGAGAGGTGATGGTGGTGCTGAATGTGGAGATCGTGGTGACGTTGGCGGTGGTGGTGAGTGAGTGAGTGAGTGAGTGAGTGAGTGAGTGAGTGAGTGAGTG